TAGAGGTGATTTATTCTTCCAAAGCAAATACACCTTTGCACACGGGTACTGACTAGTATTCCAGTGTGTCTCTATCATTTTCTCTCCCTTACTCTGCTAATGTGCCCCCAGTGTTGACGGAGAGGGGCAAGGGAGGGCCATACAAGAATGATGTGCATGCACCCAACGTCCTCCTCATCAACATCAACTGATGATGTCATTGGTTATTAGGGCGCTGGCAGCTAGAAGGTTATAAAAGTGCACAATGAAATCTTGTGGCTTTGTGTACTAGAAGGCAGGATTGATTTACCTGCTGGCTTGTATAAAATTTTGGCCATTTTGCCAAGGCACCCCTGAAGAAGTCTGAAGGCACCCATGAAGAAGCCTGAAGGCACCCCAGGGTGCCTGGGCACCCTGGTTGAGAAAGGCTGTACTATAGGATTAACTTACTAATGGCAAAAACCTGTTAACATTGCAAGTGAGTTTTCCTTAGCTTAGTGAATGTGGTTAAAATTACCTTTGCAAAGAATACCCAATCACGTGCAAGGAAAATGTTAAAAAAAAAAACGTATTCTTGCTTGCACATGATTGGATGATGGAAGTTACCATGTCACCACATTCACTAAGCTAAGTGAACTCGCTTGCAATGTGAACAACCTATTTATCTTTAGTAAATCCACCTCTATAAAGTATATTAGGGGTAAAGCATAGAAGAGAGTCTGCTGATCCGTTTACACAAAAGGTAATACCAGCAGATTCTACAATTTCAGAAAGGTAACATTTTATGTACAAGTAGTAGAAAAAACCCACACACTTCTTAATAGAATTCCACTATCTCTCTAAACTTGATATGTTTTACATTTTACTCACAATTGCAACAAGTCTATGCACAGTCTATCACTGTATGTTATTAGTAGGGTTAAATGTATACTTGCCACCTGCCACCCTAGGCCAACTATCTTGTGCCAGCCCTATTGGACAACTGGTTAGCCTTAGTATTGCACTGACAAGACCAGAAGTAACATAGCCAATCAAGGCATACACATAGTTACATAGTTAGTCTGGCTGAAAAAAGGCAAAAGTCCATCCAGTTCAACCATTAAAAAAAAAAAAAGAAAAAAAAAGTTATAATCCTGTACCCACAGTTGATCCAGAGGAAGGTAAAAAAAAGCCCAGCAAAACATGATCCAATTTGCTCCTGCAGGAAAAACAAATTCCTTCCTGATCCCCCGAGAGGAAATTGGATATTCCCTGGATCAACTTTACCTTTAAATGATATTAACCAGTTATATTCTGTGCATCTAAGAAAGAATTCAGGCCTTTTTTAAAGCAATCCACTGAGCTGGCCAGAACCAACTCTTGAGGGAGTCTATTCCACATTTTCACAGCTCTCACTGTGAAGAAACCTTTCCGTGTTTGGAGATTAAATTTCTTTTCCTCCAGAGGTAAAGAATGCCCCTTGTCTTCTGTGATGACCACAGGGTGAATAACACCTCAGAGTTCACTATATGAACCACTGATGTATTTATACATGTTCATCATATCCCCCCCTTAATCTCCTCTTCTCAAGAGAGAATAAATTCAGTTCCTCTACTCTCTCCTCATAGCTGAGCTCCTCCATGCCTCTTATCAGTTTGGTCCACACCTGTGGTCAGACAGGTTAAAAGAGAGATCTCACCCATTCTTCTTCAGTGCCATCCACTAATAAAACAGTCCCTATTCTGTTGAAAGAATTAGCTCTAGCTGTTTGCACCCACAGTGAGTGTGTCTGTTAAGTGTACAGTACACCATTCTATAAATAAAAGTAAGATGTACAATATACACAATTAATAAAATGTAGGACTAACAGAGAGCACTTTAGTTATGTCCTAGTCAAAGTCTGTACATAGTAAAAGATAGCCCATGAAAGCCAGGGGGTGGTTTGTTTATTTACATGGCCTAAAGCATCCCACACCTAGAGGGTATGAAGCACCTGCTAGTGTGAGCTGCCCTGCATTTCTGCACGTAGATTCCAGCCTATATTAATCCTAAGTATACACTGTTAAGTAATTAAATCTGTGTGTGTGTGTATTCGAGGAACGCGACCCTTCTCAGGGACAGCCTTCTGTCAACAGATTACTTGAAAGACTTATTCCAGCTAGTGACCCTCGACATAAGTAGACTAGGGTCCAAAGACAGGTGGCATGGATTTGACGCTGGAGGAATTAACCTCATAGTGTACCTGGCACACAGACTAGGCCAAAATCCCTCTTTTATTTGCTTGATGAAGGATTTAGAGAAATCTGTCTGTCTGTCAAATCACTGGGTGCTAGTAATGTCCCTGTGGTGTCCCAGTGATATCTCTACTGCCTGGTGAATTTGCAGCTTGAATATCTGTTAAGATGACTCATTTCAAGCTACTCATTAATAACATGACTACTTATAACAGGGCCCATGCCTGAATGCATGCGTTGATCATGGCAGCTAGTCAACATTAATTGTGCATGGAACACAAAAATTTTATTGGTTGTTTTTGGCAACACAAGAGTTCTCCCTTTAAAGTGCATCTCTAGGCAAAACCTATTTTTTTTTTTCATTTTGGATAGAGTGGGGAAAGGTGAAACCCTCCATCAAGTTTTTATTGCTGCCTGTGCTCCCACTGGGGAGATTTCTCTTATATCTGTACTGGTGATTATGCCACCTAGAAATAAAATGACTGGAAATCCAAAATTGTTCTCAAAACAGGCGGCGAGAGAAAATCTTCTAAAGGAGACACCTGTTCTGGGGCAAAATGACAAGAAGGGGAATTACCCTCATTTTGGGAGATCTCCACTAATTATCTGTTGTTTCTTCAAAGATATCCAAAGGTTTAAGGTTTTGGCTATACATACACTTTAAACACATTTATATGTATAGTCTTCTAAAACTGATATTTGAGTCCAGCCAGAACTCCTAAGACTGTCCTGTTTGGCATTCTGGCCAGGGAGAGCTCCAGTTCGTTGTAACTGGAATTCATTTTCCTTCCACCCATGACCCAAAAGATGTCGGTGTTGGTAAAATAAAAATGACTTCCTTTAGACTGCGTGGTTGAAACTGTCCACTAAACACCTGAAGAGAGAGCCATTAATCCAACAAAGAGAAGGATAACATGCAGTTGTATTTAAAAAAAAAAAAAAAATATCAAAAAATTACATTTTCTAGACCAGAATGGTGTTTGTCTGCTCTAGGCTGTAGCTGAAGAATTTATCATGTGATTGTGTCAAAGTTTCTACAACACCTGAAGACAAGTGAATGCAAGTTTCATTCGTGGTTTTCATAACATTTGGCACTGTATAGACTTTTTGACTCTGTTAACCTTCTTTATGTGCAGAGGTAGGTTACATGTACGGATACACCATTAATCCATTTCTTTGTCAATAATGAATCTTGTACATCTGACTTCTTTTTTGTGTAACATTCATTTTCAGCGACAAATGCTGAAATTCCTGGAGCATTCTGACCATTCTGCTAAGCACAAAAGCAGATCCATGCTGGCGTGGTCAGTTTGCATCTCTTTGCTTCCAATGTAAGCTTCTGGATGTCAAGCTGACACTTGGTGTGCCTGATAATTCTGGGGTCTGGTGTCAGTATAGCTGACATAGCCCTGCTTGATTGACAGCATTGGAGAACAACTGGGGGAATCAATGGTGGAGGAGGATCTGGGGGTTCTGGTAGATCACAAGCTTAATAATGGCATGCAATGCCAAGCTGTGGTTTCTAAAGCGAGCAAAATCCTCTCTTGTATTAAAAGAGGTATAGACTCCAGAGAGAGAGATATCATGTTATCCCTGTACAAATCATTAGTAAATACCTCATCTGGAATATGCTGTTCAGTTTTGGGCACCAATTCACAAAAAGAACATTGGGGAACTTGAGAAAGTACAGAGAAGGGCAAATAAACTGATAAGAGGCATGGAGGAGCTCAGCTATGAGGAAAAATTAGAGGAACTGAATTTATTCTCTCTTGAAAAGAGGAGATTAAGGGGGCATATGATCAAAATGTATAAATACATCAGTGGTTCATATAGTGAACTTGGTGTAGAGTTATTCACCCTGAGGTCATCACAGAGGACAAGGGGGCACTCTTTAAGTCTGAAGGAAAAGAAATTTAATCTCCACACATGGAAAGGTTTCTTCACAGTGAGAGCTGTGAAAATGTGGAATAGACTCCCTCAAGAGTTGGTTCTGGCCAGCTCAGTGGATTGCTTCAAAAAGGGCCTGGATTCTTTCTTAGATACACAGAATATAACTGGATACTAACATTTATAGGTAAAGTTGATCCAGGGAATATCCGATTGCCTCTTGGGGGATCAGGAAGGAATTTTTTTCCCAGAAGGAGCAAATTGGATCATACTTTGCTGGGTTTTTTTTTGCCTTCCTCTGGATCAATTGTGGGTATAGGATTATAACTTATGCACAGCTGCATCAAATTCTGAGAGAAGCAGTGTTAGTAAATTTCCCCCACTGTGTGGCTTGCAGCAGGAATGGCCCTGTGGAACACAAAGTAGGAAGTCTGGGAAAATATTTCCCCACCTGATGCAATAGGAATCTTCCATTGCATGAACTTGCAGGCTTCAGCAGTATAAGCAAACATGTTTGTAGAATGTATTTCAGGGTGCCTACATACCTGATCACCTTCGAATATCTACTATATGGGTAACTTTACAGTTGAGCAGTAAAATGTGACAAGTAACATATTGTGTAAAGCCTTCTTATGAGCAGAAGGTTGGTATTAAGAGAATGATGGGGACACTGGCTGCTTTATCAACCTTGTAAAAGAGGAATACATTTACAGGCATTAAAGGAATTCTATGTTCTTGCCATGCCAAACTGTGCTAAATGGCAGTGCATGGTGTTTTTGGGAGAACATGCATACTTTGTGAAATAGGATACCAGTCACTGTAATCCTAATGCTTGTACAAGCTGCTGTCCTTTGGATATTGTCAAATTAAACTTTGTTTCACTGTGCCAGCAACATAAAGGGAAAAGTAGTATTCATTTACCGTCCATAGGCAAAACGCCTGTCCTTGTGATGGTCTCCAAAGGTGTCCCACAGCCTTAGCGAAACACTCACTTCATCGACTACATCCCGGGAGCGCTCGAGGACCTAAATGAAAGCCATAAATATAAGAAATGCAGGTTTACTGCTGCAGCAACCTCCGTTTTTTTCTAATCATCCTGCAGCATGTGCACTATTTAAGGTGACATCACAGAATCTTTGCTGAAATGCACTATGCCTGGACTACTAATGAACTATTCATTCCATGTCTGCAGTTTCTTCTATATATTAACAAGCTGAGATTAAAGGGCCTCTTAATCTAAAATACAGCAACAGTGCAAGGAATCTTGGAATACTCATTAACATGCTTTAGACAGTTCAGAATGCGCAATGCATAGCTCAGTGTAATACTGTATAGTATGCAACACTATGTTACAGTAAACCACCCTTTTTGTCATTGATCCTTTATGGTTATGTAACAGTAACTACATGAGGACTGTGAATGACAAAAGAACAGCACACATCAGAGACCAGTGCTGAAACATTTTTAAGAAGCAAAGGTCTAGAACATGCAGAGATCCATACTAACCAGATTCCAAATCTCTTTTTATTTTAGGACAATGATTCTGATTAGCTGCTGCTATTGTACCTTCTGCACGTCTCTTGCACCATTCAGTAAAATCAGTGTGACTCAAGTATCTGCTGCTATAACTGTCCACGTTTATCAGTGGGGTTGATTTATGAAAGGCAAATAAGCGCTGCTGTTCATTATGCAAGGGATTTTGTACTTTGTAAGCAAATTTTACCCAAAGCCTTGTGAATGTAGAATGTAATTTGTGAATGTATACTCAATCATGTGCAAGTGAAAAAAAAAAAACAGCATTTTTACTTGCATATGATTGGATGACAGAAGTCAGCAGAACATCACCTCATTTACTATGCTAAGGGTAAATTCCCTTGCAAAGTGCACAATCTATTTGCCTTTTGTAAATTAACCCCACAGTGTCAGTGATACAATAGAACACAATAGGGGAGATTTATGGGGCCCCGGGGCAATAGGGGATAATGGGGCCCCTGTGTCCTTGCCCAAACTCAAAAAAGCCTATGAGAAAGTTACCAGGGGCATCTCATGGGGCCCCCTACTGACCCCGGGCCCTCGGGCAGTGCCCAGAGTTTCCAAATGGTCAGTCCGCCCCTGGTGGCAACAATGTATTGAATGGACTTGTGGCTGCATATACATTATTACCAGCCTTTTTTTTTTTTTTTTACAATACCCTCTATTGTTTATTTCAGTTTCTAGCTTGCCTTCTAACAGGGCCTTGATTGTCAAAATGTCATGCACAGTATTAGAATAATACACAAGTATGTATGCGCAGTTCTGTAGTATATATACTACTGCATACACACCCACATATATATACATATATATATATATATATATATATATATATATTTTATTTTATTTATTTTTTTTTTTTTTAAATGTTAACAATGGAATCCTAACACCTACTTCAAAATTTGATATTAATATATTTCATAATAGTTATTTAAAAAAACTTTAATAATTTAAAATAATTGATTTATATTCATTTTGTTACCCTAAAAAACACTGAAGGGCACTGCTACATGAACAACTATTACTCTTGTAAAGGTAAACTTGAGAGCCAACAGGGGAATGATCTGTGCCTGGAAGGTTACAAATGTAATAGGGCATATTAAGGAAGTGATAAAACCATTTGCCAAGACAACAAATCTGTGTTCATTTAAAGTACTCTATCAGATTAAGGGGGAATGAAAGGAAATATCCTTAACTGGGTAAGTTTGGCAAATACAAGGCTGGTAAGAAATGAGCTGTTGAACTTGAACAATATTCAATTACAGAAAAAAAGTGAACAAAAGTAAAGGATCAGAATTACATTTATAAAATTTAGTCTGTTATTCAGTTACAACTAACATAATAAAATCTGAACAAGATATGAGTAAGAAGAAAAGATGTGGATGATTTCAAAGGCAAGGGGAGATGAAGCCAATATATTGTTCTTGTCAAACATTCCTTATATATTAAACAGTAGAAGATTTGTGTATGGGGGCCATACAAGTAACAATCTGATCAAACAATTTAACATAGAGTCTATGAATTATCAAAATGACACATACTGGTTTGAGCAAAACCAAATGATTTCATTGAATTTATTCTGATCAGTCTGCAAGAAAAATCCCATTCTAGGGAAATAGACATGATCGATAAATATGTAGTGTATTGAACAATCTTTTCTATCATATTTTAGATAGAATAGTAAATCTATCGACAATACCATTATATATAAAATTGTTCAGTGTATGGTCACCATATTTTGTAAGCGCTCATAAGCAGGGCCCTCCTAGCCTTCTTGTAATGATTTATATAGTTACTGTACTGAACCCTCTTATTTTACGTGCTGGCAAGCTATAATATATCTCATAAAATACTAAAAATAATAAAGAGTTATGAAGACAAAGCAATTTCACAAGCAACTATATAACATAGTTCAAAGAAATTTTAAGCATGCTAGAAAATACCTGCAACTGTTTTTTAAGTTGAACTAATCACCAAAACATTGGTTGATTTAGAATACTATGGCAAATTTAGGATCTGAAGACAGCTAGAAAATCTGTCTAGCACAAGAAAAATTTTGTAACAAGACTTACTTCTTGGCAGACTCGGTACTGATCAATTGCCCATACTGTAGGTACATGGGTAGCCAGGAGTTGGTACTGCGTTAAGGTGGTGTTGCATGCCCTTGCGCATATGAGCCGTGTCTTGCCCACAGCATTGTCTCCCACGACCACACACTTAATGGTTTCCACATTGGGTCGTTCGTAGTCCATATCAGTGTCCATTTATACAGGCCTGAAAAGGAAACCAATGACCGAGTTACTATGAAGCATTCAGGCATCAACTAATGAACAGAATAAGCATGTTCCTGCTTTTAAACTGTCTGAACCGCCCATAGTTATTACAACAGCCTATGACAAAGCACACCTGGATGAAGTAAACATTACGACACCCTTTGTTCTTTCCAGAAAAAAAACAAAACAACCTGTCAAATCAGGTACGTTAGGAATGTCGTTTGGTTTCTTCAGCTCATCTGAATACTATAAACTTGCACGGAGTACACATATCCAGAAATCTTTTCTCCAAGGACTACGGAAACCACCTAACAGTTTATGTCACTGAGATATTAACCATTAATACATAAAGGCATTACTCCTTTTATCATTCTAATGTATATAATGTCTTTTCATGGCTTTGACATTTTATTCCCACTATTGTTAGAAAGTACGTTAGGGATCATTCATACTATGTGGTTACTGGCGTTTTTCTGCACCTGAATAACATCAGTCACCGCAGGCTACATAGAAAAAAAATCGTTTTCTATCTGTCCCATTCATACCACAATGCTGGTATGAGGTGTGGTGTGGAAAAATGCAGACATGCTGCTGAGTGGTATGCAGGTTACTGCACCACATCATGCTGTGGTGCAGACAGTTGAATGAGTCTTTAAACAGCACAGTGGTTAAATGGTTAGCACTTCTACCTAGCAGCACTAGGGTCGTTGGTTTGAATCCCAACCATGGCACCACCTGCCTGGAGTTTGCATGTTTTCCTTGTGTTTGTGTGGGTTTCCTCTGGGTACTTTGGTTTCCTTCTACACTCCAAAAGACATGCTGGTGGGTTAATAGGCCCTATTAGGAGTTAGGGACCTTAGATGTAGACTCCTTGAAGGTTAAGAACTGATGTGAATGTACAATATATATTTATGTAAACTTGATACGAAAATTAACGGTGCTATATAAGTACCTGTAATAAAATAAACACGACATAAGTGCAGGGCAGAGCCAGACATTGTGACGTCACCATGCAACTGCAATAAGCATTGTGGGAATCGTAGCAAGGCTGATGCCGATTGCTGTATATATGCCTGTTCCCATTTTCTAACTACAATAAAGAGTTTTACTGAGGATTGCGAGCTTGGTGCTCTTTCTTTCTGTCTTCCCGGAGCATTGGTCCAGCATGGTGCTTGTGAGCGTGGAATGATGGAGAATCCCAATGTGCTGCAGTTTGAGGAACACTTATGTGCAAGCGCGATTTGACTCTTTATACAAGAGTCACATACTGTCTGGTAAGTTCATATGGGTGATGTTTGCAGTGAACACCGGGTGTCATTCTTAAGCTGATTCAATCAGAGATCTTTTATCCGAACCCTAAAAGTTCAATACACCCAAGCAAATTTTGCAGGTTTTTTTGATCTGTTAAACCACCTTACAATATCACAATTATTTGACAATTATGACTGGGATATCTCACTGTTGGCACATGCAAGACATATGAAGCTAGGGGCTCTAAACCCATAATGCTCTCTCTATGACTAAAATATCACTTCTGGGTGTACTGACTACTGAATGTTTAAATATTTTGCATGCAAAACTGCAAACTTGAAGGAGTTCCATGCATGTTATATTTTTACACATTTAAATTGGTCTAGCTTGGAGAATGCAACTATGTATATACTATACCCGGCAGATGACCCTAGAAGCTGGAAATCACTGAAGTTCACACTACTCCAGTGATCTCCACTTACTTTCGGGGTCCTGTGCTGAGTGGCTGGCTTCATGCATTATGAACACAGAAGGTTGGCTACTCAGCATGGGTTCCATTCAGAGAATGCTCAATATTGGATGAGGTGGGGAGAGTGATGTCACTGACCCACCTCTCCTTGTTCATTTAGCAAACTCTTTACAAATGGTGCCCGATCTGAGTGGCCAGCATCCTGTATTCACAAAGATTTGGCCAGCCACTCTGCATGGGACCAGGTAGCAAGTGGAGATCACTGAAGTAGCAGTGTATACTTCAGTGATTTCCAGCTTCCAGGGCCATTGGCTGGGTATGGTATATACATAGTTACATTGGTCCAAGCTGTACCAATATAACTATTTAACTATAACATGCCTGTAATTCTTCTTTAAAAATGTCTCTTTTTCTTAGTTCTGAATAGAGTAATTCAATTAGGATAATGTAATTAGAACTCCTATCAGTTTTTTGTGCCTTCTGTGTTCTTTTCACAAATTGGATCATGGGGTTTTTTTTTGCCTTCCTCTGGATCAACTGTGGGTATAGGATTATAAATTTTTTTTTCTATGGTTGAACTGGGTGGACTTTTGTCTTTTTTTCAGCTAGACTAACTATGTAACATGAAGTGAACGTTTTGGAAAATTCAAAACGTAGAGTTGGCCCCAGTACAGCAAATCTTCCAATGGGAACACTTGTTCTGTAGACAACAGTCTAAGAGGGTATTTTCACTTTCAAGATATTTTCTCTCACTTCCTGTTGTGTTTACAGGACAGGAAGTAAAGGAAAAGTCTGATGAAATGGAAAAGTTGCATACTAACTGCATCAGCAAACATATATTATCATCTTTATCCATATTTTGCAAAGAAGCCAAGTGACCATAGTGCACAAATCTGGATATATATGTGTTTAGGCACATGTGATGTATACTGCGCCACCCAAGAGCCGTCTTGAGTTGGATCTCAAGGCCTTTGTGTGTAAGGTCAGCTGTGATATTAAATTGTATCTGTTGCAATATTAAATTGTGTTTGATAATTACATTACCATTAGTAGACAAGTTATAATAATATAAGCATATTTACAGCTAATATAAACAGCAATAACAACAATAGCATGTGAATAAAACAGAAAAAAACATTTAGGGATATCCTGCTGTGTAGTTGAGCATTGCTAATAATCAGATTTTAATTTGTTTTAGTAAATGCAGAATCCATAAACTGGAAATAAAAACATACACTCTACCTGAGGTTTTACTGCAGTGCAGTAATTATACCTGTTCGTTTTCTACACGTACTCCCATAGGAAATAGTTATTACACCACACCAGCGTCTCTGCTTTCTAGAACACGTATCTATTCTCAGAGCTTGTTAACTGGCACCAGGAGAAATTATGCTAAATATTACAATGCCTTATGAGAGGCAATCTGTGCAAGCTTTCTAGAAAATATAATCTATATTTAATTTTCTAGAAATAGTGTATTCAGCATCAAGAGCTGAAAGTGAAACTCCAGATTTGTTTAAAACATCTTCCCTGGTTTTCTACATATATTGCAAGGACCTTCGAAAATTTGTGTCCTATCTCCTTCTGTTCCTTACATATTGCAAGTACAAACCAGCAACCACAACTCTCATAAGTTAAGAAAGACATAGTAACATTCTTAACATAAAAAGAAAAAACTTGAATTGTTATGATTTTTCTATTTTAAATCATGTCATAAAGAGTCTTTAGACAAGTTATAGTCACCATATTAATAGCTTCTAATGAAAACTAAAAGGTGCAATAGTTACTATAACAATGGATAGTAAACTACATCTGTAGTTTTGAAACATCATGGCAATAGTGAGTCCCTTCTCAATAAAGAAGACATATTGGGGTTTATTTACTAAAGTTGGATAGTGCAAAATCAGGTTCACTTCTGCATAGAAAGCAATCAGCTTCCAGGTTTTATTACTAAAGCCTAATTGAACAAGCTGAGGTTAGAAGCTACCATGCACAGGTGCACCAGATTCTGAGTGAACCAGCTTTAGTAAATCTCCCCCCCGCTGTAGCATTATAGTTTTACTTTTTTTGTTATGTCCCTCTTGGTACAAAGTACACATACTACTTTGTCCCATGTTTCTAAGTGCTTTCTAACCCCAGTTATCAGTACCAACCTGCCCCCTCCCCTCCTGTCCCAGTAGACCCGACAACAGCGATGAAGGGGGCGGCTGATTCATAGTTGGAGCTTGTCTCTGCTATGAGCACTTTCCGAGACAAGCAACGGCAAGATGAATGCAGAGGGAGGCGGGCAGAATGTCCGCTTCTGCATTCCTCCTGCCATTTCTAGTTTCAGCATGTTCTCACAGCTAAGGCAAGCTGTGGCTATGAACCAGTTGTCTCCTTTATAGCTGTTGTCATATCGATCGTGGAGAAGGATGGGGGCAGGCCAGACCTCCTAACTAGGGTTGGAAAGCACTTTGGGACCTGGGAGAAAATACTACATGTACTTTAAACTGAAAAATAACATTTATAATGATAGTGTTTTTTTTTTATTTAGATATACTATAAAGAAGACCTGAGGGAGAGTTAAAGTGGAAAAGCAAAAAAAATCCACTCTTGTAGTAAAGGGACCTAAAAAGTAGTTTTTCTCACCCGATTCTCTGCTCAGGCTGTAGGACTGGTCCATGCAGCCACTTTTCCCTACGTTGCAGTGGTCAGATAACCTCTGACATAATCAAGACCATGCCAGAGTCTATCATAGTCCTGCACTGGATGCAAGGATGCTGAGGGACAGTCCACTGCTGGAGCATAGAGTAGGTAAAGTAAGTAAAACTTCTGTCCTTTTCCCCTAGACCTAAGGAAGCATTTAACCCATTTGGTAGCAGGCTCATGTCAATGGAGAATTTCTTCTTTCCCTGCTGTCAGTTTTTTTGCCATGTGTTTCTCATTAGGGAGACTTCCCTGCACCTCCTATCCTGTAAACGTACCAGGAAGTGAAAGAATATTTCCAATGTAAGGGTTATCCCCTCTTAGAAAGCTTTCATGGGAATAAGTATACCCATTGGAAGATTTTCCCTCACTTCCCCTTCTGGTGGCAACTCAAAATTTAGCATTTACTTTCGCTTTTATTCTTGGTGATCAGGACAATTAGAAAGAATGAATCTCCCCAACGTAGAGCAATAATAACCTGATATTGGTTCTAGACCCCCATCACGCTATCCAAATCTAAAAAAAAAAAAAAAAACAAAAAAAAAAAAAAAAAACACATGTTTTGCCTCAAGTCATACTTTAA